CCTTTCTGTCCTGTGGTTGGGTGCCCCCTGCACTCACTGCCCTGCATCTCAGGGCAGAATGGCCCCTCAAGGCACCACGCACAGCTCTGGCCCCACTTCTGTCACTGACTCCCCAGGGGAGGAAACCCGATGTGAGGGGCAGCGCTGGAACTACTGGGGTCCCTGTGTGTCTGCTCCCGGCACTGCTCCTACTTCTCTGATCTCATCCCAGCCTCCCACTACCCCCTTCCCTCCTGCACTTCTGCTCTGGGGGTCAGGGCACGGCTCAGCCACGTGGTGCACACTGGCCTCTCAGCTGGCCACTGTGCACCGCCTCCCTGGGCCTGCTCGCCACTTGTCTGGTCTCCATGGCGACGAGCACCTCTGATGGATGTGCTGTACCCATGAGGTCAGACCCGCTGTCTCTGGGCTGAGACTTGTCACCTCCCTGCCTGCCGTGCCCCTCCCCCAGCCGCCTCTTCCCCAAATCCCCAATGCCCGCACGTCACGCTGCCTGGTGGCTGAGTCTCCGTCTTAGCTTGCATGAACACACTCCGAGTTCCCAAAACGACAAAATCCAAGGGCTCTTCTCATCCCTGTGGTTAAGCGACACATGACTGCACCTCAAAGATGGATTACTCGAGCCCTTATGCACCTGCTCTGGACTCGGGCTCTTGACGAGAGAGTCTGCTGGAGGCACCCACAGGGGACACAGCATCCCACCCCATGACAGCACTGGGCTGGCTGGAGTCGCCACGCAGCTGCTCGGCAGGTGTGTCAGTAGATAATCACCAAGCGCCCACTGTGAGCTGGCCCCGGGAACATGCTGTCAGGCCGGAGTGTGTCCTCCCAGCCTTTGGGGCAGTGGCCATAGGCAAATAAACACACAGGATGCCCAGTCAGATCTGAATTTCAGACAAACAGTGAGTTTGTTTCAGGGTAAGTATCCACGATTGTTTTCTCAATCTGAAATTCAAATTTAACTGGGCATCTTGTATTTGATTGGGCAACCCTGCATGGCAGAGAAAGCAAACGATATGGGAATAATAGAATTCCAGATTTCAGGGAGGTGCTAGAAAGGAAAGGAAGCCGTGCTGTTTGAGAGCGTCTCGAGGAGTTCCCGGATGATTAGGGACAGTCTCACGGAGTCCTGCAGCACTGAGGGAGCCTGCATACACACAGGCCAGGGGTGAGCAGGCCAGGCAGGTGGAATAGAACACGAAAAGGCCCTGAGGTAGGAAAGTATTTAACATAATCCTTGCTAAACAGGCCAGTGAGACTGGATGAAGTGGCCAGCAGGTAGGTATACGTGACCTTGGACTGTGACATAATCATCCAGCCACAGAGAGCAGCAATTCAACAACTGTTGTTTTTATATATTATTATTAATAATTATAACTTGCAGGCCAGGTGTTTAGCCAACCGTTTGAATGCTGGTTAGGACACCCACATCCTACGCTGGAGGGCCGGGGTTCAATACCCAGCTCTGGCTCCTGACTTCCGCTTCCCGCCGATGCAGACCCTGAGAGGCGATAGTGACAGCTCAAGTAATCGGGTTCCTGCCACCCTCGTGGGAGTTCCTGGTCCCCCAGCTTCAGCCTGGCCCAGTCCTGGTTGTGGCAGACATTTGAGAAGTGAACCAGCAGGTGGGAATTAGCTTGCTCACTCTCTGCCTCTCAAATTAAAAATAATAATATTAAGATGCAGAATAAAATCTGAGAGCCCTATTTTCCATGAGGAAAAGTCAAGCAGGAGCCTCCCTCCCCACTGCTCTAGGAGAGTTACAAAGCATGGGTGCAGGCCAGCAAGAGAGTGCACACGTGGACCCAGGCCACAGGGACCTCGTGTTCCCGCCGCGGGGCTGGGCGACACTCGACTTCTCGCAGAACTGCTTTCCTCTTCCGTAAGAATAGCCTGCAGGACCATCACTGAGCCTGCAGGGGTCGCGGTGTCGGGCAGGGACCGAGGGCCATGCAGAGAAAGGAGGGCGTGACTGCTGTGACTCCCAGAATCCACCATCATCCAAGTTACCGCGGCCTCCACCTGCCAGAGGAGGAAAGGGAGGCGGGGTTAGGGCCGTGCCCAGGGATCCATCGTCTTCCTGCCCCATTCCTGTGCAAGTCGGAGTTGGCAAGGACAAAGGGCGGCCCTCATGCACAGACGTTGAGTGCCGGGACCTGTGTGTCCGGAGCTCAACAGGTGCAGTACATGGCACTGAAGGGAGATGTAGGGCACCCTCCTCGTGACGGGTTTTGTCTCGCTAGCTCCTGAGCCCGTGGTGAGTCACAAGGGACTGGGCAGGCCGTCTCCACAAGCCTGTTCCCAGGGGGACGTTGCAGTCGGGGGCTCTGGGTCTGGTCGCAATTCCTTCTCTCTTTTTTTATTTGAAAGTCAGAGGGACATGAGATAGAGAAAAATCTATGCTGGTTCATTGTTGCTCCCCCTCTTAGCGGAGGAACGACACTGGACCCTGCGCTGTTCTTTTGTCTGCTCGGCCCTCCTCGGGTTTGCTGCTGGTTCTTCCCGGGTTGGCTACCGACCCTTCCACCTCCGTGGAAGGGCGGTTCCCCCTGCCGCTTTCCCCACTTCCGCGGGGGAGCGGCACACCGCCGGCCGGCTCTCTCGGGGGCTGCTCAGATGTTCCTCAGGTGTTCCTGGTGCATGTTGTCTCTCTCCTCCTTTATAGTCCTCTTCCACCAATCCCAACTCTGCTACCCACACGCCGAGTACGCTGCTCTCCTCCAATCAGGAGCAGGTCCTGCTGCTTATTGGTTGAACTGGAGGCAGCTGCATAGAAGCTGTTTACTCCTCTCCCAGCGCCATATTGTGGGAGAGCAGATGCATAGAATAAGTCTTAATTCCAGTAACTTAGTCTAGTCTGAGTTGCTCCCCACGGTTCATACCTCAAATGACCAAACAGCCAGGGCTGGGCCAACCGAAGCCAGGAGGCTGGAACTTAATCCAGGTCCTGGTCTCTGCAGGTGGCGGGGTCCATCCCCCCGCCACCTCCCAGATGTGCCTTAGCGGAGGCTGGATCGGAGGTGGAGGATCCAGGCCCCCACTAGGCACTCAGATGGGACAAGGGCGTCCCACGCAGTGTCGTCATCTCTGCACCAAAGGCCCACCCCACTGGTTTCACTTGTCCTTCGAGCCTTGCTTTGGGGGATGGGTGTAGCGCTGTCCGCAGCACAGGCGGAGCATGCATGCAGCGAGGTGCACGCCTCAGCACGCTTGTCGGGGGCCTGGACCCAGCGCAGGGCCGCATCGCTGAGTGTGTGTGCGTGCGTAGACGGCGCGGGCCACCTCGAGCCCCATCTAAGCCACAGCGCGGCAGTCCAGGGTTCTGACCTCGGCCGGGTTCTTTCCAGGCCGGCTGTGGTAGGGCCTCAGGAAGAGGCTGGGGGCCTCCCCTCGGAACTAACTGGTGGTGCAGCCACATTCTAGAAAACTCTGCCGCACTGCGAGAGAACATGACCTCATTTCTCGCCGTGCCTCAAAAGAAAACTTTACATTTTAAATTAACAGCGTGTCTGGCGTTCATATTTGTGGTGGCTACCTGCAACGTAAATCTCTTTTAGAGATGTGTGAGAGCAGCATACATAATGAAGCATCCACATGACGCTTGATTTACAGCGCCTTTTCATTAATATAACAAATGAAGTGTACCCAAATTTGAAAGTATATTCCTTTGGGCCTCATTAAAACACCAAGCAAAATACATGTATATGTATATTTTAAATGAAGACATTCAGCGGCTAGAATTAGCTACAAAATTTAATTCACATTGAAAAGCGCATTTTGAGTCATTGCTGTTATTCACAGCCAGTCCGCGTCCTCCGTGATCGTGCCAATCCCCTACCATGTGCACCTGATTTAGGGCCCGCAGGACTGGACAGGCAGGCAGCCGCCGCATCAGAAACACCACAGCGCCCCCCTTCCTCGAGCCGGCCTGTGCTGCCCCCCGGGGCAAGTTCGCCCGGGCAGTCCTGGGTCCAAGCAGAACACCCAGCTCCTTTAGAAGCAGCAGGAACTGGGACGCCCTCCCTGACTGCAGGGTGCAGCAGTGACCGGTGACAGAAAGTACCCCAGAGCCCAGGCCACCTGGCCTGAGCCCACACCCCTTGTTTTGAAGCTCCGGGGGGCAGAGAGAGAGAGAGAGCTGTTAGTTCGCTCCCCAAATGCCCTCTTGGCCATCAGGGACACAACCATTTGAGCCATCACTACTGCCTTCTGGGAGGCCGCCTCAGCGCGGAGCTGGGACTTGAACCCACGTGCTCTGATTCCAGACGCGGGCTGAGCCCACGCCTGCCCCTGGAGCAGGTGCTCGCCTGAGCCTCAGGATGGTGGAGCAGCCTCTGCCCTGGCTGACCCCGCAGAGCACCATGGAGGGGTGTGGCGGGCGCACTCCAGGGACTGCAGGAGACTGAAGAAGGACCTCCAGAAAGGTGGCTGTCCCCCGGCGCGAGGGTGCTCCTGCAGGCAAGCCCCTTACCCCTGCGCCCTCCCCTGTCCCTGGTGGTTCTTGTTATGCTGCTAGGTGACCGGCTCAGAGCCCAGCCCCAGGGACCACAGTGCTCTGAGATTCACAAGTCACCTCCTCCTACCTGATGTCCCTTCAATGGACGGCGCGAAGACCAGGCAATTGTGAGTCTCATCCTGACCTGCAGCAGGAAACAGGCTTAGTGGGCATGCAACCAGCCCGGCTTCGCACACCTGCGAAAGGTAGGATCCCAGTTCCAGTCTGAAACTCTCGCTCCTCTTCCTGTACTTCCAGCTCGAGGGTGGGGGGCATGATCCCTTGGGAGACCCCAGAGAACCATTCATGGACCTGGCACCCTTCACCTCAGAAGCCGGGTGGACAGGTGCAGTGTCAGGGGCGAGTCTGACCAGGGACGGCTGCCCCAGACACTTTGATCTGCTCAACAATGGGCTGCATTGCAAGCTGCGCCCTTGCACCACCGGTTTCCATGGTGACGGGAGAACCCAAGGCCCCAGGTCAAATCACTCCATTTCTGGCCGATCTGTTGGAAGGCTGGTGGCTGCTACCAAAGTCTCCCATTTAATTGGAAACTGTTACCAGGCACATGGAAAAGAATTCTCGGATCTCACGTCGGCATAATGTGGTCTTTTGCACGGGGAGGTGCTATGTCCTCTACCAGGGAGCACAGATCCAGAGAGAAGCCCACCCAGGCAGGCGCTTTCCCAGGCTGGCTCCAAGAGGCCTTGCTGGGCGTGGTCAGCTGTGTCGATTGCTGCTGTTCTGTTCAACTCAAGGTAATCGTCCTCCACGAACAGGCGGAGAGTGTTCTCCTTGCCTCCCTGGCCGGGGCCCACCCGCCAGCTCAGCAACAATGGGCTGCCACCCCATTAGCAAAACCTGCAAGAGGTCAAGTTCAGAGCTGGGTTCAAAGGAGGGTGCTGGCAGGGACTGGGAGGCCTGTCGGCTTGGGATTTTGGAGGCTGAGGTGGAGAAGGCTGGTTGGGCCTCTTTGGGGTGAAAGGCAGTGGCCTGCTCCCCATCTTCCAAGGCTGAGAGGGACAGAGGCCTGTTTCCCCCGTAGCAAAGCAGTCCCATGAGGGGAGCTGGAGTTTGTCCCAGGCTGTGCATAGGAAGCCCTGCTCCTACCTGGCCAATAAACTTCCCAGGGACACAGCTCCCCAGAGAAGTGAAGGAGACAGCACCTGTGGGTATGTTAATAGTCTCCAAGGGCAGAGGACTAGCAGACCTCCGAAACCAAGGCCAGGCAGCCCCGGCCCCGCCAGGAGGGGCCCCGAGCTACAGGCTGCTCCCCAACATTGGGTGCTTTCGCTGCCTCGCAGATGCTGTTCCCTGGCTCCCCTCGCCCTTCCTCTCACTCCCAGCCTGCACTGGTCGTGGGGATCCGAGCAGCACTTTAAGGAGAGGATGGGCAGGCTTTGGAGCAGCCTGAATTTGGCGTTGAGAGGCACACAGGAGAGAAGGGTGTCCAAATGGGTCAAACCGGGTGGTGTCCTGCTCGCGGTGAGCGTGGAAGGGACGCTCTTTGCTCCTGGCGGGGGATCTCCTGGGTCAGCGCTGCCTGCAAGCGCTGAAGTCACCTGGGGACTCGGGAGGTCACCAGGACTGGGCCCGAGGGGACACTCGGAGGCCAGGGGCTGGGCTGATGGAGGGGCAGGGAGCCTCCTCCAATGCAACAGGAAGCTAGCCCCATCGGCTCTGGCTGTCTCCATGGCCCTGGAAGGGAACCCCAGGCCCCTGAACCTACCAGCGTTCAAACAGGAGCAGTATCTCTAAGCGCCTGGAACTGGGCAGCTCCAGGCTTTGGGCAGAGCCCAGCGGGAGCAGGGGCGCGCGGACAGGCAGCTGCTGCGGGCCTGTAAGGCCCCAGCCAAGGTCTTTGGTCACCAGAAGAAGACTGGGCGAGCCAAGGTCCCAGGAGAAACCACGGTGCGCTCCCCGATTGCGGCCGCAGTCCCCCAAGGGGAAGTGGCCGCCTTGGGGCTGAGGGGTCACGGCTGGTCCTGAGCGGCGGGGGAAGGTAGAGGGGGTGTCAGATGCTGCCCCCCCGAGGGGGCGTGAGAGCAGCAGAGGCGCGCCCCTGGGAGCCGGCCCGGCCGACGGGGTCCCCGGGACACGAGTCTGCGCCTCCCGCGCTGGGTCCGCACGGTCCAGGGCGCGGCGCCCAGTCGGGGACCAGCTTGCGGGCGCCCCCTCGCGGCGGCCGGCGGGGCGGGGCGGGACGCGAACACGGTCCGCCCTGCAAAAGCGCGCCGAGTCCACGGCCAGCACCGCGCGCCGCGGGGCGACGAAGCACCCGAGGGCGGCGCGTGTCAGTCCCCGTTGCAAAGAACGAACTGGAAGGGTTCCTGAAGCACCCAGGATGTCGGGTCTTTGATGGCTTAAACGCAGACGTGCGAGCGACATCTCTGAATTATGACACGGGGTTTTAATCCGAGGGAAGTGTTTGTGGCAAAGTGGATTGGGTTTCGTCTTGGGCGGGTAGTTATTTTATTTTATTTTTTAAAGTGCAGGTGACATTCAGACTGACGGGGGGTGGGGGAGGAGGCACCAGGGGCCGGCGTTTGGTCCAGCGGCTGTCACGGCTGGGGACCTCAGCATCCTCTCCTGGAGCGCTGGGTTTGAGTCCCTGCTCTCTTCGGGGTCCGGCTTCCTGCTGAGGGGCACCCTGGAGGCGGCAGGTGATGGCTCCTGCCCTTGGGTCCCTGCCATTCATGGGGAGGACCCAAATTGAGGCTCCTGGCCTCTGCCTGGCTCAGTCCTGGCTGTTCTGGGCATTTGAGGAAAGAACCAGGGAGTTTGGGGGAGTGAACCAGAAGATGGGAGGCCTCCCCCAACCCCAAGTAAATAATTTTTTTAAAAGAGCCAGAACTTGCCGCTGCTTGGTCCCATGCTGCTCTCAGAGCAGAAGGTATCCACAGCCGACAAGGCCATGATGAGCACCTCCAACAAGTCACCGCCTCCCCTCTACCTCTCTACCACATCAGTGGTGAATGAACCAACAAATGACCAGCAGTCACAACTCCATGCCCACCACCTGGCCCACCTCCCAAGCTGATGATCCAAAGATCAGTCTCCCACCTCCCCGGGTCCAACCTTGGAGACAGGCGCAGCAGTCACGGCTCAGAACCTGAAGGGAGCGGTCACCAGGTCCGTGGGGGAAGCTCGGGCTGCAGGATCAGGCTGTCTGGGCTTGGGTTCCTGCTCTGCCTCCTGTTATCTGGGGACCTCCCGAGTCCTCGGCGCGCTCATCTCTAACATGGGGTCATAGTGGTCCCCCAGTCAGTGAGTTACTGATAGGACCGATCCAGATGTAGATAAAGCACCCGCCAGGTGCCAGGGAGACTACATGTTGATGGTGATGATGGTGAAGATGACGGTGGTGATGAGGAGGATGGCGGTGGTAATGGCGGCTGCCCCACAAGGTCTCTCTCAGCAGCGGAAGCCCGGGGTCACCCCCGACTCTTGTGACTGCACCCATGCCACCGTTCTGTCCCCTGGGTCACCCTGCAGCTCTGCTGCCCCCCTGCCATGCGCCTTGAGGCAGGAACCAACCTCTGGGGGCAGCTGTGGCTGTGGCAGTCTTCCAGGAGTGGTGTCCCCCAACACCCCGGAACGTGCCCCCCCCCACAGCAGGGCAGGAAGGCTTCCCCACCTGCTCGGGCACTGCATGCAGGCTGGGGGGGGCGTTTGCAGAGCTGCCTCCAAGTCTCAGCCTTGTGGGTGTGCAAGAGATGGAGAAAAGCTGCACGCTCTCTGTTTCTTAGCACAGTAAGCGTGAGAATGCGATTTCTGCAGGAGAGACGGGTTTTCTCTTTTATTTTTATTTTTTGTCAGGCAGAGTGGACAGTGAGAGAGAGAGAGACAGAGACAGAGAGAAAGGTCTTCCTTTCACCGTTGGTTCACCCTCCAATGGCCTCCGGCGTTGATCCAAAGGCAGGAGCCAGGTGCTTCTCCTGGTCTCCCATGGGGTGCAGGGCCCAAGCACTTGGGCCATCCTCCGCTGCCTTCCCGGGCCACAGCAGAGGGCTGGCCTGGAAGAGGGGCAACCGGGACAGAATCCGGTGCCCCGACCGGGACTAGAACCCGGTGTGCCGGCGCCGCAGGTGGAGGATTAGCCTAGTGAGCCGCGGCGCCGAGTTTTTTCAAGACAGCTTGTAGGGGGTCATGGTTTTTCCAGGGAGACAGAAAATACTGGTGCCAGACCCTGCGATGGCCATGTCCAGGCAGGCCGGTAGTGTTCGGTTTCCCAGCCCTTCTCTGGAGTCCGTTGAACAAACAGCAACGTCCCTTGGGTCACACCTCATCCCCTGCCTGGGAATTCTGTCACTGTCCCTTGCTCCGTGAGGCCAGGTCCCGGTCCGGTTTGTGCAGGCCTTTCTTATGTATCCACGCGTCGGGTCCCCGTGCCGCAGGTCCCGCCGCATTGTAAGGTTCGGGATGATCTCACAGAGTGAGACGGAAAAGAGCCAGGGCCTGACTGGCACACTCACGACGCCCCAGAAGGGACCAGGTGTCCGTCTCCAACCGGACCAGGTATTCATCTGCCCAGCAGCAACTACAGCTGCCCCACCCAACTCCCAGCCAGTCGGGAACAACAAGCACCTAAACACCTAAACTCTACCCCCACCCCGCACATGCTTAGAATCGCCGATTCCTGACCGTCCAGGGAAGGTGGCAGGGAGCCACACTGCCATTTTGGGTGTGTCGTGTGCACAAGGAACAACAGCACCTGCGCAGAACAGTGAGTCAGGGGCAAACCACAGTGCCGTGTGCAGGGGGAGGGGCCGGAGACTGGGAGGGCACAGCCACACCTCCCCTAAACACCTCTGCTCAGTGCCCTGGGTGCTGTTGCCCCTGAGCTTGCGCCTAAGCCCCCGACAGACTTGTTAAGGTTTGGCTGCCTGTCCGTTTCTAAGATACAATGAGGCGAGCTTGGCACCTCTGCAGGGCACCTAGCACAGCCCCTGCACCCTGGCTGCTGGCAGATGTCTCCAGACAGGTGGGGACAGAGGTGAGGGGTGCACGCTGCCTTCCCAAGGCAGGCCGTGTCCTGGTCCTTCCCCCCTCAGGTGGCCATAGGATGCCTGGGGGGAGGGGCCGACGTGCACCTGCACGCCCACACAGCCCATCGCGCTCTCTCGGTGGGAAAATGTGGTTTTAAACAATCAATGTTATAGTGAGTTGCTTTTTTTTTTAACCGATTTCCTCATCCAGTCAGTTTTCAGCCCAAACTCATTAAGTGCGTCAGAACTCCAACTAGCCCCCACCAGGAGGGTCCACCTTTCCCCGCCTGCGAGGCTGTGGACCGCGAGTCCTAATCTCCCTCTATTACCGAAATGGACGGTGAGCTGCCGACCGCTGCGGCTATAAGTCAGCTGCGTGTTTTGGCTAAGCTGATGCATTTTTCAAGAGTTGTCCCCGTCGCGCGGAACTGCTCACTCCGCACCAAGTTGGCCATCCATCTCCCGTCCCGCCCCTCCTCCCAACTGGCTAATAATTTATACATAAACCAGGATGCATTCACCGGGCCAGCGCCCCCAAGGTTCAGCTTTATGGACCACCGGCCCAGCCTGGTGGGCGGCCCAGCTGCCCAAGATTAAAAGACTTTCATTTGGTGTGTTCAACCGCAAAGGGAGTGATGCTGGGGTCGGCTACCTTCTCGGGGCCCCAGAGAAGGCCCCCAGGGTGGGGCTTTCAGAATAAAGACCCCGCTCTCCCCCCTCAATGGCACACTCTCCCAGCAGTGTGACCTGGGCCCTTTGAGGCTCCCCCC